CAACCCTGAGTGCTCACTGGAAGGACAGATCCTGAAGCTGAGGCTCCAGTACTTTGGCCATCTCATGAGAAGAGAAGATTCCTTGGAAAAGACCTTGATGTTGGGAAAGTGTGACGGCAAGAGGAGAAGGGGATGTCAGAGGATGAGATGGCTGGACAGTGTCACTGAAGCGACCAACATGAATTTGACCCAACTCCGGGAGGCATTGGAAGACAGGAGGGTCTGGCGTGCTCTGGTCCATGGGGTCACGAAGAGTCAAACATGAATTAACAACTAAACAACAACATACTATATAACTAGCCCCGGATTAACCATTAAGCAAAATAGGCACATGCTTCGCGTATCAAAAAGAGAAAGGGGCACCACAGAGGTATTTTTTTCCCACTGCAGGATTTTCCATGGACCATGGTGCAAATGGTGACCCTTAACAAACCACATCCATTCATCTCTCACCCTCATCTCTCTCTCTCTCCCTCCCTCAAGGGCACCACGAAAGCCACCTCCCTATCTAAAATAATTGAGTATGTACCAGTAAAAACTAAAAAGTATAAAGTATAAACCTAGTGAGAACATGCATGATTTGAGTGGAATGATCAATCATCACTTGGTAGTGTTTGTTAGTTATTGCTTCTGCATTTTGGAAGGTTGGCTAGGGATAAGAATAAAAAGAGGTGCTGGTCTTTTAGACCCATGGACCTGCCACAGATTATATTTTTAGGGATAACCATAATCTTTTCAGTGCTTAGGGACTCTAAAGGTCTTAATCCATCACTGTGCATATTGCTTGCCACGATATTTCTAAACATTTTTAAGGGAAGTCTCATTTCTGACTCCTATCCTTTTTTTAATCCCAGTATTCAGTATTGTGAGTGATGGAAAGGAAGTAGAATTACTCAACACATACTTTGCCTCATCGTCTAGTCGTTTAGTTGTGTCCGACTCTTCGTGACCCCATGGACCAGGGCACGCCAGGCCCTCCTATCTTCCACTGCCTCCCGTAGTTGTGTCAAATTCATGTTGGTTGCTTCGATGACACTGTCCAGCCATCTCATCCTCTGACATCCCCTTCTCCTCTTGCCGTCACACTTTCCCAACATCAAGGTTTTTTCCAAGGACTCTTTTCTTCTCATGAGATGGCCAAAGTACTGGAGCCTCAGCTTCAGGATCTGTCCTTCCAGTGAACACTCGGGGTTGATTTCTTTTAGAATTGATAGGTTTGTTCTCCTTGCAGTCCAGGGGACTCTCAAGAGCCTCCTCCAGCACCACAATTCAAAGGCATCAATTCTTCAACCGTCAGCTTTCTTTATGGTCCAGCTCTCACTTCCATACATCATGAAAGAATTGATGCTTTTGAACTGTTGTGCTGGAGGAGACTCTTGAAAGTCCCCTGGACTGCTAGGAGATCAAACCTATCCATTCTGAAGGAAATCAACCCTGAGTGCTCACTGGAAGGACAGATCCTGAAGCTGAGGCTCCAGTACTTTGGCCATCTCATGAGAAGAGAAGATTCCTTGGAAAAGACCTTGATGTTGGGAAAGTGTGACGGCAAGAGGAGAAGGGGATGTCAGAGGATGAGATGGCTGGACAGTGTCACTGAAGCGACCAACATGAATTTGACCCAACTCCGGGAGGCATTGGAAGACAGGAGGGTCTGGCGTGCTCTGGTCCATGGGGTCACGAAGAGTCAAACATGAATTAACAACTAAACAACAACATACTATATAACTAGCCCCGGATTAACCATTAAGCAAAATAGGCACATGCTTCGCGTATCAAAAAGAGAAAGGGGCACCACAGAGGTATTTTTTTCCCACTGCAGGATTTTCCATGGACCATGGTGCAAATGGTGACCCGTCCTTAACAAACCACATCCATTCATCTCTCACCCTCATCTCTCTCTCTCTCCCTCCCTCAAGGGCACCACGAAAGCCACCTCCCTATCTAAAATAATTGAGTATGTACCAGTAAAAACTAAAAAGTATAAAGTATAAACCTAGTGAGAACATGCATGTTTTGAGTGGAATGATCAATCATCACTTGGTAGTGTTTGTTAGTTATTGCTTCTGCATTTTGGAAGGTTGGCTAGGGATAAGAATAAAAAGAGGTGCTGGTCTTTTAGACCCATGGACCTGCCACAGATTATATTTTTAGGGATAACCATAATCTTTTCAGTGCTTAGGGACTCTAAAGGTCTTAATCCATCACTGTGCATATTGCTTGCCACGATATTTCTAAACATTTTTAAGGGAAGTCTCATTTCTGACTCCTATCCTTTTTTTAATCCCAGTATTCAGTATTGTGAGTGATGGAAAGGAAGTAGAATTACTCAACACATACTTTGCCTCACTTTCCCCCAAAAAACAAAAGTAGTGTTCAATGCAAATAAAAGAGAGAGTGAGGGGACTGCTGAGCAAAATAGGTGAAGAGGTGGCATTGGAATGCCTACTGGCTTTGTGTAAATTAATGTATGTGGGAGAAGTCTACCTGCTCCCAAAGGAACTCAAGGCATCTGCAGCTGTAACCTCAGAGCCTTTTAAAGAATTTCTGGGGAGGTCACTGTAGACGGGCAGGGGCCAAATGTTGTGTCCATCTTCAAAAGGGGGGTGGGCAGAGGAGAGAGTCAACACTGGTTGCTCCACATTGACACCAGGAAAGTTTTAAAAACAGATTGTTGAACAATTGGTTGTGAGCATTCAGAAAATAATTAAGAGCAAAAATAAGTCATACCAGATCACTCTTTCTCTCTTTTTGATGGAGTTGCAACCTTAGTTGACCAGGAGAATTTACTGGGTGCCATGCAACTAAATTTTAACAAGGTATTTGACAAGGTCACCCCGTAATATTCTTGAGGACACACTGATAAAATATGGACTAGACAGCCATTCTCAACCCGTTTTGGCCATGGCCCTTTTAGGCAATACTCTCAGGTTTCAAGGCTCCCTATCAAACAAGGACACAACTCAAACAGATATCCTTTCAGAAACTTCTCACATTTTTCAGTCTATGCCCCCCCTTCAAATGTGCCAACACCCTCCGGGGGGCTATATGGACCCTGTTGAGAATGGCTGGACTAGATAATAGCTCATTGAGCTGGGACAGGAGGTAACACCTTGAATTCTCACAGTGCCTGGTAAGAGAAGAGCCAGGCTGTGTGGTCTTGGGCAAGCCATACAGTTCTAGAGTGCCTTCAGAAGAAGGGAAGGTTAAACCACCTCCATACCTAGAGAACCCTGGAAAGAATTGCCATGAGTCAGAATCAGATGAATGGCATGTAATTATTTATTTAGTTACTTTTGTAGCTGTTTGACAGGCTATACTTAAAGAGTGCCACCAATGGTTCCTCATCATCTTAGAGAGAGATGACAAATGGGTTTCTACCTGTTTCTATACTGGGCCCCATATTGTTCAGGTTCTTTATAAACAATGGAGTAGAGGAAATGTTTGCAAATGATGCCAAACGGGAAGGGTAGCTTATACTTCAGAAGATAGAATCATGATTCAGTATGGCCTTAGCAGTTTGGAGAATGAGGCCAAAATAAACAAAATGAGTTTCAATGGGGAGCAAAACCCCACAATTTCTATATTTGGGCATGGAAAAATCAGATGCTATAGAATGGGTAACATTGCCTGGTGAATGACAGCATGGTGGTGCTGGGGAAGCGGGTAACATTGCCTGGTGAATGACAGCATGGGGGGGGGAAGCATCTAGAGGTCTTAGTAGCCCACAATCTAACTGCAAGTGAATGATGTGATATAGCACCAAAGAAACCTAATGCAATTCAATATATAATGTCCAGATTAAGTTATTTGTTGTTATGTGATGTCAAATCACCTCCAACATATGGTGACCCTAAGAATGAGTGACCTCCAAAATGTCCTGTCCTCAACTGCCCTTCTCAGCTCTTATAAACTCAGATCTGTAGGTTCCTTTAGGGAGGCCATCTTGGATTTGGTCTTCTTCTTTTCCTGCTGCCTTCCACCTTTCCCACCATTATTGTCTTTTCTAGACAATCTTGGCTTCTCATGATGTGCTCAAAGTAGAACAGCCTCGTTTTAGTCTTTTTTACCTCCAGATATACTTTAGGCTTAAACTATCTCTGGAGACAAAAGTTCTACCATAGAATTTGCTGTATAGTCCTGAATCCAATTTGTAGTCCTAACTTAAGTAGACCTGTTGAATAAGAGATTTACAGAAGTGTTACTCATTATTTAGCAGTAGATTCAGTGTATGTACTCTATCTATCTATCTATCTATCTATCTATCTATCTATCTATCTATCTATCTATCTATCTATCTATCTATCTATCTATCTATCTATCTATCTATCTATCTATCTAAAAGGATCCTGTAAGTCAGTTCCAGCTCGATGGCATATAACACACACATGCAACACCGTATTCTATAAAAATAAGATAATTTAGCTTTACATTTAACTAATTGGTCACGTTAGTTTTCCTTTGCGAAGACCGGTAAGCATTTCGCTTACCGATCTTCGCAAAACGAAGCCCGACGATCAGCTGTTTGGCGGCCAAAATGGCTGCCGGAAGC